ATCACCTGAGGTCAGGAGTGGAGACCAGCTGCCCCAACATGGTGAAACCCTGTCTCTACTAAAATACAAAATTAGCCAGGCATGGTGGCACATGCCTGTAATCCCAGGTACTGGGAGGAGGCAGGAGAATCACTTGAACCTGGAAGGCGGAGGTTGTGGTGAGCTGAGATCACACCATTGCACTCCAGCCTGGGCAACAAGAGAGAAACTCCATCTAAAAAAAAAATACTCAAAATTCAAACAATACAGCAGTGTTTGGTGTCCTTGCAGGGTGCCATAATCCCACTTGGTAGGGATACCATTGTCGACAGTTTGGAGCATCTCCTACCAAATCTTTTTCTCAATATGTTTGATCTTAATTTTTTTTAACAGTTCTTTTTTCTTAAGGTATAAAATGAATATATTTTGGCTGGGCACAGTGGATCACGCCTGTAATCCCAGCACTTTGGGAGGCTGAGGCGGGTGGATCACCTGAGGTCAGAAATTCAAGACCAGCCTGGCCAAGATGGAAATCCTATCATTGGCCCCAGCAGCCCACGGGCCCCTCCCCTCAGATCTTCCAGTGGTGATCATATCTCCTGACTTCTCATTTCCTCTGTTTATCCGCTAGGCTGTTCAGCCAGGAGATAACAGAAGGTTTTAGAAAGCCCCAGAAATGTTATACTGAAGAGTGTGTTTCTAGGCAGAAGGTCCATTACTCTTGTTAATTTCCTCTGGATTTGTGAGCCAAGAAGCCCTTGGCTTAGGAAATAAACTGTTTCTCACAAAGCAATTGCCAGTTCCATTTGTCATTATCTTTATTTCTCTCGTTCAGCTCACCCTTAAGACCGTATTTCCCCGTCATGCAGTTTCTTGCTTTGCTTTTTTTTTTTCAGTAGATTTTTAATTTTAGTTGTGGTAAAATATACATGACATAAAATGTACCACTTTAAACATTTTGAAGTGCAGAGTTCAATGGCATTAAGCACATTCACACTGTTGTGCAACCATCACCACCATCCATCTCCAGAACTTTCTCAGTTTGCAAAACTGAAACTCTGTCCCCATGAAACACTCACTCCCCATCCTCCTCCCCAGCCCCTGGGACCCACCGTTCTACGTTCTGCTTTTATGAATCTGACGACTCTAGGGACCTCCTATAAGTGGAATCACACAGTGTTTGTCTTTTTGTGTCTGGCTTATTTCACTGAACATGTCTTCATCCACCTTGTGGCATGTGTCAGAATTTCCTTTCTCTTTGTGGGGGGTGGGGATGGAGTTTCACTGTTGTTGCTCAGGCAGGAGTGCAGTGGTGCCATCTCAGCTCACTGCAACCTCCACCTCCCGGGTTCAGGTGATTCTCCTGTCTCAGCCTCCCATGTAGCAGGGATTACACGTGCGCACCAGAGCAAGACTCCATCTCAAAAAAAAAAAAAAATTGCGTTGTTGAGATGAACCACGTTTTGTTTATTAATTCTTCTATGTAAGGACACTTGTGCTGTTTTCACCCTTTGGCTATTGTGAATAATGGCTGCTGTGAACATGGACTTGCAAATATATGTCCTACAACCTCCTTTCTTTCTTTCTTTTTTTTTTTTTTTTTTTTGAGACAGAGTTTCACTCTTGTTGCCCAGGCTGGAGTGCAATGGCGCGATCTCAGCTCACCGCAACCTCCGCCTCCCAGGTTCAAGCGATTCTCCTGCCTCAGCCTCCCTAGTAGCTGGGATTACAGGCACGTGCCACCACGCCCAGCTAATTTTGTATTTTTAGCAGAGATGGAGTTTCTCCATGTTGGTCAGGCTAGTCTTGAACTCCTGACCTCAGGTGATCCGACCGCCTTGGCCTCCCAAAGTGCTGGGATTACAGGCATGAGCCACTGAGCCTAGTCCAACAACCTGCTTTCAATTCTTCTGGGGATATACCCAGAAGTGGAATTGCTGATATGGTAATACTATTTTTAATTTTTTGAGGAACTGCCATACTGTTTCCCGCAGCAGTTGCACCATTTTACATTCTCAGCAAGGGTACACAGTATTCCAATTTCTCTACCTCTTGATCAACACTTGTTATTTTCCAGGTTGCTTGGCTGGTTGGTTGGTTTTGGACAGTAGCCATCCTAATGGCTGTGAAGTGGTTCTCGCTTTGCTTTTTTGGAAGGGAGGTGGGCGGGTGGCATTTTTCCACAGGAGCCTTTATATCTATCAGGCTCGAGTTGCACAATCTTGCCTGGCTTATCTCCGGGACACCTCCTGGCAGCTAATAAGAAAGGGCTATCTTTAGCCACTCTGGCTTAGAAAGGTTAGGAACCTGCCAAGGTCACAGGTAAACTGCAGCGTCAGAAAGTGAACCCAAGGTCTTATCCCCTCTTGCTTTCACTCTGCATAATTGTTATTCACTGCCTTTAGGCACAAAGAAGGTGAATTCTATGCCAAGATCACACAGCTGGTTCTAGAAGCCATGCTCTCAGGCACCAAAGGGTGACACCCACCTGTAGTCCCAGCTACTTGGAAGGCTGAAATGAAAGGATCACCTGAGCCACTGCACTTCAGCCTGGGGGACAGAACAAGACCCCATATCAAACAAAAAAAAAAAAAAAAAGGAAGAAAAGAAGGCCGGGCACAGTGGCTCACACCTGTAATCCCAGCACTTTGGGAGGCCGAGGCAGGTGGATCACCTGAGGTTGGGAGTTCAAGACCAGCTTGACCAAAATGGAGAAACCCTGTCTCTACTAAAAATACAAAATGAACTGTGCGTGGTGATGCATGCCTATAATCCCAGCTACTCTGAAGGTTGAGGCAGGAGAATCACTTGAATCTGGGAGGTGGGGGTTGCAGTGAGCCGAGATCATGCCATTGCACTCTCCAACAAGAGTGAAACTGTCTCAAAAGAAAAAAAATAAAAAGAAAAGAAAAAAAATCATAGGAAAGCAACGAGATGTTCTTTAGGTGGTAGCACACATAAAAATGATGTCAGGCTGGGTATGGTGGCTCATGCCTATAATCCCAGCACTTTGGGAACCTGAGGCAGGCGGATCACGAGGTCAGGAGTTCGAGACCAGCATGGCTAACATAGTGAAACCCCGTCTCTACTAAAAATACAAAAAATTAGCTGGGCGTGGTGGCTGGTGTCTGTAATCCCAGCTGCTCAGGAGGCTGATGCAGGAGAATGCCTTGAACCCAGGAAGCGGAGGTTGTAGTGAGCCGAGATCGCGCCATTGCACTCCAGCCTGGGCAACAGAGTGAGACTCCGTCTCAAAAAAAAAAAAAAAAAAAAAAAGCCATCTTAACATCTTAACCGTTTCTTGCAGAAATACCAGTGTCTAGCATGGAACCAGCTCGTTAGAGTCAGCACTGATCTTTTCTTTGTTTTGTTTTGTTTTTTTTTGTTTTGAGACAGGCTGGTTTCGAACTCCAGGGCTCAAGCGATCCTCCTGCCTTAGCCTCCCAAAGAGCTGAGACTTACGGGCGTGAGCCACTGCACCCAGCTACATGCTAGGATTCTATGTATGTTTCATTAAACAACCATATAGCACCTACCGAATAGCAGACACTATCACGCCAGGCTGGGCTCGGTGGCTCACGTCTGTAATCCCAGTACTTTGGGAGGCGGAGGCAGGAGGATTGCTGGAGGCCCGAGGTCGAAGATGCAACGGATTGTGCCACTGCACTTCAGCCTGAGTGACAGAGCAATCAATACCTTGTCTCTAAAAAAAAAGCAATAAGAATTCTCACGTCAACCCTGACATAGGCACTAGTATGACCCTCATTTTACTATGGAGGAAAGTACCGCACATAGGGGTGAAATCTGCCCAGGGTTAACACAGCTAGTAAGTGGCAACGCTGGGATTCGAACCCAGTAACTTGGCTACAGACGCCATATTTCTATGCAGCCTCTCATAGAATCTGCTTATTCTCTATGCTTATTGTGTGTATCCCACGCACACACTGTAGGATGTAAGTTCCAGGAGAAGCTGCTTGAGGCTTTGCCTTTAGAACCCGGCCCTGCATAGAGCTGGCGCTCGACCTATAGAGAAATAAACAGCCGCTTTCCATCCCGCGCAGGCGCATCGGGAGGGCTAACGGAGCCTCCCACTTCCTGCGCCGATTGGTCATCGCCGATGACTGACGGAGGAGTGGTCGCAGGCGCACCAGGCCAGACCCTAGGCGGCTTCCCCCAATCTAAGACGCTGCTCCCTATGCCTATTGGCTATTGCTTATGACTGACGTAGAAAAATTCCAATGGAAAGCAACCTCTTCGGGAAGAGGGCGGGCTCCGCGGGCAGTCAAATTTGCGCGGGTTGGGGCCCGGCGTAGTCATGGCCGCCTTCCGCGACATAGAGGAGGTGAGCCAGGGGTTGCTCAGCCTGCTGGGCGCCAACCGCGCCGAGGCGCAGCAGAGACGGCTGCTGGGGCGCCACGAGCAGGTGGTGGAGCGGCTGCTGGAGACGCAAGACGGTGCCGAGCAGCAGCTGCGAGGTGAGGGCTGGAGCGTGGGCGCGGGCCCACGGGGAACAGGGCCCGGGTGCTGGGAGCGGGCAACCAGGCCGACCTCAACACTCCTTCTTTCCTGGACTCTTCCATCTCCTGCCCTATCCCCTCTGGGACGGCCGCCTCTGAGCCCTCCGGGCTTTATGATAGCAACCATCCCCCGCCCCCCAGGGGTTTAGTGGTAAATATAGGAGCCCGGAGGGGTTGGCGTCTTCTGAGCGCTCCGTGAGCAGGAGCTGGGGGTCTCAGGGTTTGAATTGGAGCTCAGGAGTCAAAGCTCCGGCTTTGCATCCCAGCACCCGTCCCCATGTCCGCTGTGAGACTTGAGGTGAGTTTCCTAGCTTCTCTGTGCCTCAGCTTCCTTCCCTGTCAAATAGTTGTGATAATAGCCCATCCCTTCTTCCTGAAGGCATTCAGATGTTTTATGGATCACCTGCTGCTGCCAGGCCCTGGGCTTACCGCGACCTCCACCTCCCGGCTTCAAGATATTCTCCTACCTCAGCCTCCTGAGTAGCTGGGATTACAGGTGCTTGCCACCACACCTGGCTAGTTTTTGTTTTTGTTTGAGACAGAGTTTCGCTCTTTTTGCCCAGGCTGGAGTGCAATGGCGCGATCTCGGCTCACCGCAACCTCCGTCTCCCGGGTTCAAGTGATTCTCCTGCCTCAGCCTCCCGAGTAGCTGGGATTACAGGCATGCGCCACCACCCCGGCTAATTTTGTTTTTTTTTTTTTTTTTTTTTTTTTTTTTGAGACGGAGTCTCGCTCTGTCGCCCAGGCTGGAGTGCAGTGGCGCGATCTCTGCTGACTGCAAGCTCCGTCGCCTCCCCGGTCCACGCCATTCTCCTGCCTCAGCCTCCCGAGAAGCTGGGACTACAGGCGCCCGCCACCACGCCCGGCTAATTTTTTTGTATTTTTAGTAGGGACGGGGTTTCACCGTGTTCGCCAGGATGGTCTTGATCTCCTGACCTCGTGATCCGCCCGCCTCGGCCTCACAAAGTGCTGAGATTACAGGCATGAGCCACCGCGCCTGGCCCTAATTTTGTATTTTTAGTAGAGACAGAGTTTCTCCATGTTGGTCAGGCTGGTCTTGAACTCGACCTCAGGTGATCCACCTGCCTCAGCCTCCCAAAGTGCTGGGATTAGAGGCATGAGCCACCGCTCCCGCCGAATTTTTGTATTTTTAGTAGAGATGGGGTTTCACCACATTGGCCAGGCTGGTCTCCAGCTCCTGACCTCAGGTAATCTGCCTGCCTTGGCCTCCCATAGTACTGGGACTGCAGGCGTGAGCCACTGTGCCTGGCCCATCTTCACTATTTTTAACTGCACAGTCCAGTGGTGTTAAGCACATTCACACTGCTGTGCAACCATCATCACCATCATCTGACTCCAGAACTTTCTCATCTTTCCAAACTGAAGCTCTGCCCCCATAAAACAGTCACTCCCCATCCCCTTCTCAGACCCTGGCACCCACCAGGGATCTACTTTCTGTCTCAAATTTGACTCCTCTAGGAACTTCACAGAGGAATTGTACAATATCTACCCTTCATAGTGGAATCATACAATATCTACCCTTTCGTGTCTGGCTTATTTCACGGAGCATAATGTCCTCCAGGTTCATCCATGTTATAGCCTGTGTCAGAATTTCCTTCCATTTTATTTACTTATTGTGAGACAGAGTCTCGCTCCATTGCCCAGGCTGTAATACAGTGGTGTGATCTTGCTGACTGCAACCTCTGCCTCCCAGACTCAAGTGATCCTCTCACCTCAGCCTCCCATGTAGCTGAGAAGACACTTATGCACCACCATGCCCGGCTAATTTTTGTATTTTTAGTAGAGACAGGGTTTCACCATGTTGGCTAGGCTGGTCTTGAACTCCCAGCCTCAAGTGATCATCCGCCTCGGCCTCTCAAAGTGCTGTGATGACAAGTGTGAGCCACCACACCCAGCCAGAATTTCCTTCCATTTTAAAGCTGAGTCATATTCCATGATACAGAAGGATGGACCTCATTGTGTTAATTCATTCATCCATCCATGGACACTTGAGTTGTATCCACCTTTTGGCTGTGGTGAATAACACTGGTATGAACACGGGTGACCAAATATCTCTTCAAGACTCTATATTTTTTTTTTTTCAAGACAGAGTCTTGCTCTGTCACCCAGGCTGGAGTGCAGTGGCGTGATCTTTGCTGACTGCAACCTGTGCCTCCCGGGTTCAAGCGATTCTCCTGCCTCAGCCTGCCAAGTAGCTGGGATTACAGGCACGTGCCAACACGCCCAGCTAATTTTTGTATTCTTAGTAAAGACAGGGTTTCACCATGTTGACCAGGCTGGTCTCGAACTCTTGACCTCGTGATCTGCCCGCCTCGGTCTCCCAAAGTGCTGGGAATATAGGCATGAACCACTGCACCCAGCCCAAGAGTCTAGTTTCAATTCTTTTTTGTATTCAGCCAGAAGCAGATCAAATGGTAATTCAAAGTTTAATTTCTGAGGAATCACCATACAGTTCTTGACAGCTGCAGCGCCAAGGGTTTCGGATGCCTTATACAGTCACATTTTATGAGGAGGCCTGGGCTGAGCCTTGATTGGCCTATGGAGTCGGCCACAGGATGGCTCACGAATGGTGTTCCTGGCAGCGTGGATTGCAAATGCAAAGGTCAGGAGGTGAGAATGAACTTGGCGAGCAGAAGATGAGCTCAGCAGCCGCCTGACTGCCAGGCCTGGTGAGCACCCAGGAGGAGTCTGAATATTATCCGAGTGTAATGTCCCAGGCAGGCTCTTCCCTCCTTCCCTCCTCCTCCTTCCACCCCTCCATTAACTCCCCCTCCTTTGATGGCTTAGGAGAACGGTGTGACTCAGCCAGCCTGGCTGTTAGCAGAATGGATGAGTCTGGGGCCAAGAAAACTGAGAGTCAGGATCCAGGGATCCTGGGCTTTGGGTCAGACAGATCCAGTTCATATCCTGGGTTTGGAGCTATGTACCTGTGGGCGAGTCACTGAACTTCTCTGTCTCTGGACCTGTTTTTCATGTCGCAGATGCGGGGCAGAGGAGTTAAAGTACACTCTCAGGCTGGCTGGGCGCAGTGGCTCACGCCTGTCATCCCAACATTTTGGGAGGCTGAGGTGGGTGGATCACTTGAGACCGGGAGTTCAAGACCAGCCTGGTCAACATGGTGAAACCCTGTCTCTGCTAAAAATACAAAAATTAGCCAGGTATGGTGGCGCATGCCTGTAATCCCAGCTACTCGGGAGACTGAGGCAGGAGAATAGCTTGAACCTGGGAAGCAGAGATTGCAGTGAGCTGAGATCATGCCACTGTACTCCAGCCTAGGCAACAGAGCGAGACTCTGTCTCAAACATAATAATAAAATAAAAGTTTAAAAAAAAAAAAGTGCTGGGCGCGGTGGCTCATGCCTGTAATCCCAGCACTTTGGGAGGCCAAGGCGGGCGGATCACGAGGTCAAGAGATCGAGACCATCCTGGCTAACACGGTGAAACCCCGTCTCTACTAAAAATACGAAAAAAATTAGCCGGGCATGGTGGCGGGCGCCTGTAGTCCCAGCTACCCGGGAGGCTGAGGCAGGAGAATGGCATGAACCCGAGAGGCGGAGCTTGCAGTGAGCTGAGATCGTGCCACTGCACTCCAGCCTGGGCGACAGAGCAAGACTCTGTCTCAAAAAAAAAAAAAAAAGGGCTGGGTGCAGTGGCTCACAGCTGTAATCTAAGCACTTTGGGAGGCCGAGGCGAGCGGATCACAAGGTCAGGAGTTCCAGACCAGCCTGGCCAACATGGTGAAACCCCGTCTCTAGTAAAAATATAAAAATTAGCCAGGCGTGGTGGTGGGTACCTGTAATCCCAGCTACTCAGGAGGCTGAGGCAGGAGAATCACTTGGACCTGGGAGGTGGAGGTTGCAGTGAGCTGAGACCGTGCCATTGCATTCCAGCCTGGGTGACAGAGCGAGACTCCATCTTTAAAAAAAAAAAAAAAGTGTCCCCTCAGAGAGCTGTGTGAGAATATGTCAAGTAGGAGCGTCTTATAATGAACGGCCATGGGGTAGAGATTACTACTCAGGGAAGAATTCAAGAAGAATCCATTGTCCCTCGGGAGGGCGGACAGACAGCGGGTGGGAAGGCTGTGTGAGCCAGCCAGAGCCTCAGCTGTCCTAACAGGAAATCAGCAGGCACCATCCGAACCAGACCCATCAAGAAATAGCAGTATAAGCAAGTTACTTAGAAATGTGGAGGCCAGTGCCAGAGAAAACAGCTAAAACTTGAAAGTGGCTGCTTCAGAGGGGCGGAGAGGCTTGGAGAAGGGTGTGTGCATGTGTGTTTATGTTTGCAGAACCATATACGTGTCATACTGTGATTAAAAATAACCTAATGTGAGTTTCTAAAACTTGAACACGGGCCTTTTGGGAAGCATTTAATCTGCTTTCTCTGAGTTGGCAGGTTTCTAGGAAGGAACAGTAGCCATTTTTGTTTTGGTTTGGTTTGGTTTGGGTTTTTGAGAAAGGATATCTCTCTGTCACCCAGGCTGGAGTGCAGTGGCACAGTGACAGCAGTTATAGCTCACTGCAGCCTCAACCTCCCTGGTTCAGGTGATCCTCCCATCTCAGCCTCCTAAGTAGTTGGGACTACAGGTACACACCACAACGCCCAGTTAATTGTTTGTATTTTTAGTAGAGATGGGGTTTTGCCATGTTGCCTAGGGTGGTCTCAAACTCCTGGATCCAAGCGATTCTTCTGCCTTGGCCTCTCAAAATGCTGGGATTCCAGGCATGAGCCACTGTGCCCAGCCACCAGTAGCGTTTTTTGTTTTTTTTTTATAAGACAGAGTTTTGCTTTTGTTGCTCAGGCTGGAGTGCAGTGTCACGATGTCAGCTCACCACAATCTCCTCCTCCCGGGTTCAAGCGATTCTCCTGCCTCGGCGTCCCCAGTAGCTGGGATTACAGGCATGTGCCACCACACCTGGCTAATTTTTGTATTTTTAGTAGAGACGGGGTTTCACTGTGTTGGCCAGGCTAGTCTCGAACTCCTGACCTCGTCATCTGCCTGCCTCGGCCTCCCAAAGTGCTGGGATTACAAGCGTGAGCCGCTGTGCCTGGCCTAATTTTTGTATTTCTAGTAGAGACGGGATTTTACCATGTTGGCAAGGCTGGTCTTGAACTCCTGACCTCAAATGATCCACCCACCTTGGCCTCCCAAATTGCTGGGATTACAGGCGTGAGCCACCGCACCTGGCCAAGATGTTTTTGCTCTTTCTGGGTGTTTTGTTCAACCCTTTTTTTTT